TCTCTCTCTCTCTCTCTCTCTCTCTCTCTCTCTCTCTCTCTCTCTCTCTCTCTCTCTCGAGTACGACACTATGTACAAAGCTATCATCAAGTACCTGCTGTTGCTGCTGCTGCTGCTGGCGTAAGCTTCTTGGGGGATGGAAGCTGTCCGTCCCAGTTGCTGCTGTTGGCTAACCAAGCCAACCGTTGTTGAATGACCAAGCTCCTGTCTAAGTTGGTCGATTTGTTTCTCCCCGATCCGGACATCCCGTGCGAGCCTTTTAGTTGATGTGTTCGGCCCCAAGGAGGAACAGTCGGATCAACGATCGCACGGTCTATTCGCCTTTCCACCGTACTACGGCGGTAGATCACAACAGGTTCGTACCTGCGGGCGCAAAGATCCGCTGCCGCGTATCTTGCGAATCTTGCGCCGACCCGTGGTGGGGGGGCACCGTGTTTGTGAGAACTCGTGTGTGATGGTAGGGTACAGTAGCCAGAAAAAAAAAATGATGCGGCGGCAGGGGAACATAACGCGGAAAATCCGAGAACCGAGAGAGACCGCGGGGGACGTCCACATTCACAGTCCAGTGAGCTAGAATCGTCTTCCCGGAAGAGATTCGCTCGCCTGAACCAACATGGGGCTATGCTCGAGCAAACAGCGGGCAAAAGATGGAGTTGCCAACAGTGTTAGGTCGCATCTGGTCAGGTACGAATGGGCTTTGGATTGAGTACGAGAACGTATGCACAGCAGTTGGGTGTCGCAAAGCGTTTCGTTGACGGCGCTCACCTATCGAAAGTTGAACACCCGACCAAGCCTTTGCCGTCTCAAATGCCGCGTAGTCAGCAGGGCGAGGACAGTGCCGGCGCCCAGTGCAGCTCCAGTTGCAACTGCCTCACTTACTTCGACATCTTCATGCACATTCGTCCTGGAGACACGAGAAAAAAACACCATTTTGTTCGACGGGAATTGCTGTTTTTTTTATTTTCGCCATTATTAAACAATTTCGGACCGGGTCTCAGAATTTTCCTTTTTACGGAAGCAGATCTTGAGATAAGAAAGTTCCGTGGAAACTTCGTGCAGGCAAATATTTTTCGGACGGAGGAACAAGCCCTCCAATTCAAGTGGAAAAATAACCCGGAAAAAAGCTTGTGTCCACAACTTTGTGCGCACAACAATGTGCCTCCCTGTCGACTGAGCATGGCCACCGCCAACCCATGCACAACCGGATGAGAGCAGTTGATGGAGACACCCAAAAAGACAAAATTTGAATCGATGGTCTCACGGGCGAGAGCTGGATAGTTTTGTGCTGACGTCTCCTCTCACGCGGCCGACTTTTTGCCGTTGGGAAGTGCTGACGCACGTTTTGGTCTCTTTTTGACACCGTAAACATCTTTTCTCGCACGCCCGAGCGCTATCGCCACATGTTGGCGGGCACAGCATCATCATCACAGCAGTGCATCAAGGATTGTCCGGAGCCCTTTGCGAGCTCGTTACATTCAGTTTCCATGACGCATTTGTGGTTTGTCACAAATCGTTTGGTTGACTTCACATTAAACCGTATGCCAGTTGCTAAATGCCAAAATCTAGCAAAGACTCTCAGCCCGTGGTCACGAAAGTGCTAGAGCCATCTGAGGATCTAAAGAACACGCACACGTAGCAAGAAAAAGGTATCCAAGAGCCCGAAGAGGTACTACTACACCTATATATAATCCCTGCAGCACCGTACGCGTGCCCAAAACTGAACTACACGTCCGTCTCACCGTTCGACTACAG